GGCATCTCGTCAGTAGCCGGACTGAGCAGGCTGTGGAACATGGAAGAAGTGGGAGAAGCCAGGTAATAGTGGCTCAGTGTGGGGGAAGGGGAGGCACGGGGGTGGATGGGGGCAGTGCTGAACTAGGGGGGGCATGTTCCCCGGGCGCCGCTGGCAGGGCCAGTAGCAGATTCAATAGGGGGGGGAAACAATTAATATTATTACTGGCCCAGGGCGGGCGGCACCGCTCCCTCCCTCCAGCAGCACTGCCACTCCTGCAGGTACACCCGCACCTATGTATGTATATATATATATAGATATATTCTCATATTTTTGTTTCCTCGTATATAAATGTATTCTCCTATGTGTGTGTGTATATACACATATACATACATACACACACACATAGGAGAATACATTTATATACGAGGAAACAAAAATATGAGAATATAAAAATATTTTTTTTAAATTCATATTAGTGGTCCGCGGGATTTAAAATTATGAATTTAGTGGTCCATGAGGTCCGAAAGGTTGGCGACCGCTGTTCTAAATGGTGGGCATGTGCATGCAGGAAATCGTGCGTGCGAACATACGCACGGAAATATGTGCTAACGTGTTGACGTTGCCCACAGATGTTTAATGTGTGAATTCCTGCAAGAACACGCACGTCTGCTCATTGGCGCCCAATGGACTATAAAATCAGTGTCAGTACTGAACCCGTTGCCTACTGGTCTTCCTGTCACCATATCCTGTGATTCTGCTGACCCATGTCTGACTCTGGCTTATGTTCCTGACTTGCGATTTGGCATCGGTCTCTCCTGTGTTTGACTCTGGCTTGTTTCCGCCGCATCTACTGATTTGGCACTACATCTCCAGACCTGACCCTCCGTGTATGACCCCGGCTTGTGACCCCGATCCTGATCTTCCAGTGGCTCCATTCAGGCTCTGCTACCTTGACGCCAATGCTCCGCCAGCCAGTTCCAGCTAAAGCCTCGCTAGACTGCTCAGTCTGCTGCCAGTTCCGCCCGTCACCTCCAGGTCATTCCACTCAACCCCCGGTACCGAACCTGCATGAGCCACTGCATAAGCACTCGTGATTCCCGGTGTCCGTACGCCTACTGTCTCCACCTCCAGGGAAGTCGGACAAGTGGTGCAAGCGTAGCCCCCTTTTCAGCTGGGCCTCCTTCTAAGTATGTGAGACTCCCTCATCACCTCCTCCCATTCTCATCTCCAAGACTTCTCCAGAACCTCACCCATCCTCTGGAACTCCTTACTACAACCTATCCGGCTATCCCCAACTCTGTTTGCCTTTAGGCGATCCCTGAAAACTCACCTTTGCATTCAGGGGCGGGAGGAGGCGTGGGCTGCGCAGGCAGGCCCCTCGCCCACAGTGCGATCACCTGCATTAGTGCCGGTGTTCCAGTCCAGTGCGATCTGCAAAAATGCTGCGAGCACTATTTTTGCAGATCGCACTGGACCGGAATGCGGGCACTAATGTGCCTGCGTTCCGAGTGCGGGTGATCGCACTGTGGGCGATGCCATTGACTTCAATACAGCTCCACACACCCTCCCGCACCGGAACGCAGGGAGTCGGCCTGCTTACATTCCAGTGCATTCCAGTACATTACAGGTCCCGGCGTCCTGTCCTCCCGCGGTGCTCGTGTGGCCGACGTTGCACATGGGGGTGTCCTGCACCTTTCCATCTGCAGCGTCTGACACATTCAGCCGGCAGCCGCACGAGCACCACGGGAGCATAGCCGTAGCCAGCTCCTTTTGCGCCTGAGGCAAGAAAAAAAACGTTTTTTTAATTTATTTTTTTTCTATTTTTTATTTTTTTTTTATTATTTATTTTTTTTAAATTTTATTATTTTTTTTTTTTTTTACTCTTGGGGGGGCTTCGGGGAAATATTAGGGGTCTAAAAAGCCCCCTGATATTTCCCTTTTAAAATAGAAAAAGAAATTGAGGACACAAAGTCCTCAATCTCTTTTTCTGCAGCCTCTATTCTAAATGAATGGAAAGCACAGAGGCTTCCCATTCATTAAGAAAATATTTTACTATCAAGCTGTTTCTGAATGGGGAGGAGCCTCTGTACAGAGTGCTTCTCCCCATTGAGAAACTCATGCATGAACAGGACGTGATGTAAATCACATCCTGTTCATTCATATATAACTGGGGACACATAGTACTATGTGTCCCCAGTTATTTACAAACACTGGAGTGATCAGCCGATCGCTCCAGTGTTTGTCCCACACAGAGGATTGGTACATACTGGTGACATGTACCGATCCTCTGCCGCTCGTCCACGCACAGGGGGGCTGCCACTTCTCTGGATCCCCCTGCTCCCCCTGATACTACGAGCCGCGGGGGGGGGGGCGGAGCCGCTGTGACAGAACTGACGAGCAGTGAGGGGAGAGAGAGGCGCCGGCTGTCAGATCCTGGCCCAGCGTCTCTCTCTCTCCTCACTGCTCTGCCTTAGTTAGTGACAGCGGCTCTGTCCTCCGCCCTCCCCCGCCGCCGGTTCCTTCACTTCTTCTCGGATCCCCGCTGGGGAGAGCAGCGGGGATCCTGAGAAGCGGCGGGAGGAGAGGACATGGCGATCTACCAGTGATCGACTGGTAGATCGCGATCGACCTTGTGGGCACCCCTGATGTAGAGTGTAAGCTCTCAGGAACAGGATCCTTCTAATCCTTTGTATGGTATTGTAATCTGAACACTGCACCCTGCACTTTACCAGTTATAGTTACTAACTCATTTCTTACCTCTTGTGTTGGCACTTTTTCCCTACAAACAGAAATAACAAAAGGTTAGCAGTAGAATCCGCACTACATTGAAATATATTGAGGCAAGCAGAGGTACAGAGACATGTGACAATCTCATAAGAGAGGGATAACTGGAGCTCACTCACCATCAGAGCAGAGAAGGTTTACTTAGTGTTACCATTATGTGTAAGGGAGATCGAAAATACAAGGCTTGATATGCTCGTTTGTAGATTGGGAACGTGTCTATTCGAGGCAAAGTGAAGTGTCTGCACATAGGTCCCCCCACCTATCGCCCTCCAACCTTCTCCCTACCCCCTACCTACTGCCCTCCAATCTTCCCCCCCACCCTCTGCTCTCCCCACTGGCTAACGTGCAGCCGGCTTTCATCGTCCAATCACGTGCAGGCAAACATAATGCTTCGTTTTTATTTTACTTGCACATGATTGGGAATACTTTGCAAAGTGAATTTTCACCACATTCACTAACCTATACTCATGTCGGCCTCCACTTGTCCAGCAGAGTACGACTCATCTGAATGTGCATTAAGAGGAGGTCCTTGGGGAAGGAGGGCATTTTCCTGAGCGGCTCTGGGTGGGGCCCTCACAGTGAAGAACATTGGTATGGGGAGGAAGCTAGGTAGATTATCAAGTGGGCAGTACTCAGGGGGATGGGGGGATTATTTTATGGACAACATTACTAAAAGTGAATTTGTCCTTAAACTCATTCAGTGTATTGGCAAAAAATTGATCAGCTCAAGGCAAGGGGTCAAAAAACCCAAAACGTGGTTATTAATATTTTACTATAAACACACGAATAGCAACCAAATTCAATGGATGACAATCACAGGAAAGAAGATTTATGGTTAGAAAATAAGAGAAATCAACTTACATGGGGGGTTTTCGAATCACACGGCAATAGCATACCGTCAAATAAATGACGAGTACCAGGAACACAACAACAGCAACTCCACCCAATATATACGATAGCGTGTGATTGTCTGCAATGAGATTTATGACAAGAAAACATTTGAGGATTAATATTCTAAGGAAAATATACACCAAATTATAACTTAAATATATCTTAAGTCAGATACAATTGTTACATTTAGCTACAGTCATAGCCGCAGATAAAAGCTAATTGATAAAGCAGTCGCCGGGCATCACTGCCACTAGGTGGAGCCAAGGAACATGGGAGCACTCTAAGCAGATCTGTTGTCTAATAAGGAACAGAACCTATCCTCCCTTAGAATGCTAACAGAGTCCATTAATCTATATAACCAGTGGCGTAACAATCACCATAGCGACCCAGGACGGCCGCTATGGGGCCCGGGGCATAGGGGGGCTCAGCCAGGACATTGCTGATTGCTTGCGGGCCGCCTGGGTCGCTATGGCATCTCACGCTGCTGGCTGTCACTGGCGGCTGTGAAGAGTAACACGCCGCTGTCAGTGATCTGTGCAGCGGCGCGTTCCTCTCCACTGCCGCTGCTGAGCCAGTGAGAGCCAGCAGCGGCATCAGAGGAGGCGGCGGGGCCCGGGGTTTGCATCAGAGGAGGAAGCGGGGCCCGGCGACGGGGGAGGAGGTGAGGCTCATCACCAATGGTGGAGGAAGAGGAGGCGGACAGGTAAGGAGTGTGACCAGCCCACCTGAGGGTGACCCTGCAGAGCTCACCTTAGATAGTCTATGGTGGGCTCTGCAGGTTCACCTTCAGGTGGGCTGTGTAGGACCTCAATTGGGCTCTGCAGGGGGTGTAACTAGAGATCAAAGGGGCCCCATACAACATTTTGCCATGGGGCCCTGTGATTTCTAGTTGCACCCCTTCATATAACCTAAAGAATCCCCTGTTGTAGGCACCCTTCAGTGGCCGGTAATGTGACCACTGCCCAGGCACTGGCCCATGCGGCCTTCGCCAAAAGGGAAGATTAGTGTTCAAGCAGATTGACCAGCTCTACCTAAATATCACCATCCTACAAAGACATTTCAGGGTAGTGAGCGCTTCTGATTACACAATTGGCCCATGGGCAAGAGGGAACGTCTTTCACTGCTCTGCCTGCTATCCTAAAATGAGGAATTATCACCTTGTTTTCCAATTTGCATGGAAATGAGGCCAAGCATTTATTTTCAATGCTCATCAGCTCCATCTAGTGGCCATATAACAGTATTACATTCAACCTGTAAAGAGAAGTATTTATTTCCTATGCTCTGCAGCTCCATCCAGTGGGCATAAGGCGGTATTAGATCACAATACATTTGACAAGAAAAGGAAATATATCAAGAGCATTAGTTTTTGTCTTTTTTTGCATACAAAAAAAGTATATATAGATATACACAGATCAAAAGGCCCTGCAAACTGCTTATAACTTGACCCACAAGGGCATGTAGGAGCCTTATATATTGCTCACAGTTCCATGAAATCCACTTAAAAAAAATGTTGCTGTACTTTTATAGCAAGCCCCTGTTGAATGTCTGCCAAATTCAGAGACCTGAGTGTTCAAAATTCAAGAATCCCAGATACTCCTGTCTGTCACAGTTCAGCTGCAGACTTGCAGCTGAGCTGTTACTTATAGTTCTACAAGTATACACATACCTCTTACCCCTGGTTCTGCAGGCATGCAGGGCTGTGCTGTTGCTTGTAGTCCTCCAGGCATGTGCTCTGAACCTGACTCACTCTTGCACCAGTCTGGCAGCTTTAGGCGTCGCCGGACCTCTCCTGTTGTTTCTTATGCAGCTTCTCGGCCAATCAGTGCAGTCCGCTTGTGGCCAATCCTGTGGATCCTCCCTCTTCCTGTCTCTATTTAAACCCAGGGCAGCGAACGGCACACTGCCCGAGCAACGCTTTGACAAGCTAGATGCAGAGCCCCCCACTTGTGATTGAACCTGAATTCCTGGAAGTTTGCCATGTACCAAACCTTTGGCTTGTCTTTGGATATCCCTGTCTACAGTCTGCCCTGTGCTTTGCTTTGTCCTTGGAAATCCCTATCTACAGCCTGCCCTGTGCTTTGCTTTGTCCTTGGATATCCCTGTCTACAGTCTGTCCTGTGCTTTGCTTTGTCCTTGGAAATCCCTATCTACAGCCTGCCCTGTGCTTTGCTTTGTCCTTGGATATCCCTGTCTACAGTCTGCCCAGTGCTTTGCTTTGTCCTTGGATATCCCTGTCTACAGTCTGTCCTGTGCTTTGCTTTGTCCTTGGAAATCCCTGTCTACAGTCTGCCCTGTGCTTTGCTTTGTCCTTGGAAATCCCTGTCTACAGTCTGCCCTGTGCTTTGCTTTGTCCCTGGAAGTCTCAGTCTTCAGCCTTTCCTCAACCTTTGATTCGTACCCTGTATGAGTTAGGTGAGTTGGGTGGACCTAGGGATTGGGACCTGGGGTCAGCACGCAGGCAAGCCCATCTCCACCATCAGGAGCTCTGGCGAACACCGGCTGTCCCTTAGATTCCACATCCTGGGGGACCCCATGCCACCTACCTAGCATTGCAGCACCCTGCCCTTTACCTTGTCTTACCAGCCTATTCTGTCTTCCACTGTCTCAGTTCCCCTGCTTGTACTCCAGCTCTGGCAGTCATCAGCCTTCACTGCTTGGACCCTTTTCTATAAGTGTCCCTGCCAGTGTAGTAGAAAGGGTCCACATACCTGACTCCAGTTCATACCCGTGAGCCCCGATCCGTGACACTGTCAATGAAATTTCCCAAAGGAAGGGTTCTTTCATTGACACACCAGCCATTTATCATAAGACTTGCGGACCGCATTCATATATTTATATTCGGGGAATAACCAGAAAAGGTGATCAAATAAAATCAGGATGTAATAGTAAAGATATTGCTGCACGTACCTTGAATGCTGACCAGGAACTGCTGCTCCAAGATCATCCCATTATGTGAAAACATTTGTGCTCTGTAGATGCCTTCATCTCTCTTGGCTACTGATTTTATGGTTAGAGAGCCGTCCTTTAAGCTGGACAGTCGGTTAGAATAACTCTGGTCAAAAATGCAAATATTTCCCCCTTGTTTAGTTGCAGCAAATCGAATCCATCGTCGTGTGAGCCAATCAATCGCTTCGATTTCTTTCACACCAATTTGAAAAATCAGGTCTTCCCCTTCTGTGGCACTGACCTCCCTCGCCCCTTTAAAAGACAACCGATAAGACAGGTTATGTTAATATAAGTAAGTTGAGGCAGGCGCATGCGCGGGTTGGCGCATGCGCGGGTTGGCGCATGCGCGGGTTGGCACATGCGCAGTTGGCGCTGAATTATTGCCGTTAGTGCGATGACGAGCCCTTGGCGCATGTGCAGTTAGCACAGAACTCTTACACCCCTATTCTTAAACTTCAACCTAACCCCTAATCCTAAAGTTTAACCTAACCCTAATTCTAAGCTTTAAACTAACCCAAAATCTAAAACTTCAACCTAACCTCTAATGCTAAACTTTAATCTAACCCCTAATCCTTAACTTCAATCTAACCCCTGATCCTTAACTTCAATCTAACCCCTGATAATTAACTTCAATCTAACCCCTAATCCTTAACTTCAATCTAACCCCTAATCCTTAACTTCAATCTAACCCCTAATCCTTAACTTCAATCCAACCCCTAATCTTAAACTTCTATCTAACCATTGATCTTAAACTTTAATCCAACCCTAATCCTAAACTTTAACCTAACCCTATACTTCAAACTAAACCCTAATCTTACACTTCAACCTAATCCCTAATCCTAAACTTCAATCTAACCATTAATCTTAAATGTTAACCTAACCCTAATCCTAAACGTCAGTCTAACCCATAATCTTAAACTTTAATATAACACCTGATCTTAAACCACTACCTAACCCTTATTTTGACTTCAACCTAAACCCTAATCTTGAAGTTCAACCTAGCCCATAGTCTCAAGCTTCAACCTTACCCCTAATCCTAAAATTTAACCTAACCCTAATTCTAAACTTTAACTTCACCCTCATTCTAAACTTCAACCTAACCCCTAATCATAAATTTCAATCTAACCCCTAATATTTAAATGCAATCTAACCCCTGATCCTAAATTTCAATCTACCCCCTAATTTTAAGCTTCCATCTAACCATTATTTCTTAAACTTTAACCTAACCCTTAATCTGAAACTTCAGTCTAAACCATAATCGTAAACTTTAATATAACCCCTAGTCTTAAGCTTCAATCTAACCACCATTCTTAAACTTTAACCTAACCCAAATCCTAAATTCCAACCTAACTTATCGTACCAAACTTCAACCTAACTCATAGTCCTAAACTTCAACCTAACCCATAGTCCTAAACTTCAACCTTACCCATAGTCCCAAACTTCAACCTAACCCATAGTCCCAAACTTCAACCTAACCCATAGTCCTAAACTTCAACCTAACCCATAGTCCTAAACTTCAACCTAACCCATATTCCTAAACTTCAACCTAACCCATAGTCCGAAACTTCAACCTAACCCATAGTCCGAAACTTCAACCTAACCCATACTCCTAAACTTCAACCTAACTCATAGTCCTAAACTTCAATCTAGCCCAGAGTCCTAAACTTATATCTAGCCCAGAGTCCTAAACTTCAACCTTACCCATAGTCCCAAACTTCAACCTAACCCATAGTCCTAAACTTCAACCTAACCCATAGTCCTAAACTTCAACCTAACCCATAGTCCGAAACTTCAACCTAACCCATAGTCCGAAACTTCAATCTAGCCCAGAGTCCTAAACTTCAATCTAGCCCAGAGTCCTAAACTTCAACCTAACCCATAGTCCTAAACTTCAATCTAACCCATTGTCCTAAACTTCAACCTAACCCATAGTCCTAAACGTCAACCTAACTCATAGTCCTAAACTTCAATCTAGCCCAGAGTCCTAAACTTCAACCTAACCCATTGTCCTAAACTTCAACCTAACCCATAGTCCTAAACTTCAACCTAACCCATAGTCTTAAAAACCTCAACCTAACCCATAGTCCTAAACTTCAACCTAACTCATAGTCCTAAACTTCAATCTAGCCCAGAGTCCTAAACTTCAATCTAACCCATTGTCCTAAACTTCAACCTAACCCATAGTCCTAAACGTCAACCTAACTCATAGTCCTAAACTTCAATCTAGCCCAGAGTCCTAAACTTCAACCTAACCCATTGTCCTAAACTTCAACCTAACCCATAGTCCTAAACTTCAACCTAACCCATAGTCTTAAAAACCTCAACCTAACCCATAGTCCTAAACTTCAACCTAACTCATAGTCCTAAACTTCAATCTAGCCCAGAGTCCTAAACTTCAATCTAACCCATTGTCCTAAACCTAACCCCTAATATTTCACTTCAACCTATCCCCTATTCTTAAACTTTAACTAAACCCTAGTCCTAAACTTCAAGCAAACCCACAATCATAAATTTTAACCTAACTCTTATTTTTGTCTTCAACCTAAACCATAAACCTGAACCTAACCCATAAACTTAAATTTCCATCTAACCTTTAACCCTAATCCTAAAATTCATCCTAATCCCCAATCATAAACTGTCCTTTCCGTCAAGAAAAGTCATTACTAGGGTGCCTTCTGAAGTCATGGATGCCCTTAAAACATTAGGACTGTCAACCAAAATTGGAGACCAAGTGAGGTAGCAAGTGTCTTCAGTGTGGACGAAGCCATCATGAACACTTGGGGAGAGGCGGGGTCACCAATTGAGCAAGGTGCTATTGAGCCATAAGGACAAAAGGCTTGTGAACACAATTCCTAAAGGTGAATAAATACAGTAGACACTTACCTAGGGAAAGGTAGTATAATTTTCCTGCAGAGGAAGAGAGAAAAAAAAAATCAACAATTTGTCAACTAATCAAATTAAAGAGAAATTTGTCCTGACAACAGTGTCCTCCGGGATGTGAAGGATGCTCCATATAATTATCCCAATGTGTGTGGAACTTTGCTTATAACTAATACACAATCAATATCCTTAAAGTGAATCCACCAGACAGTTCAATGGGAATTAGTAAAGGGCAAAGATTAAAATTCCTAAAATGTTTATGTTCTTTGGATCCTATGGAGCAATAACTCTTAAAGGAGAACTATGGGGGTCAGGGCTTTTCCCCATAGTTATCCTCACCCAAAGCTCAGTATATAGCGAGCTACAGCTCGCCGTATACTGAGACCGCCACAGCCGGGACGGATCCCCACATTACTGTCTGGATCCACCCAGCTGCGTGAGTGGCAGCTGGCTCTCTATCTAGAGGCAAAGCCAGCTGTACCCGCCCCCTCCCCCGTCCGTTCCGCCAGTCAGCGCTGGAGAATCAGACAGGGGAGGGGGGAATCCCTGCAGGGAGCTGTGAGTGGCAGTCACCTCTCTCTTAGACTTGTGCGCCGTCAAAAAATTTGTTCTGTTTCGTTTCGGAATATCCGTTATTTCGTAATTCGTGTCCGAAACTCAATTCGGATTCGTACGAAATACGAATTTTAGTTAGTTTCGGCACATTTTCGTAACTGTACGAACATTCGTTATGATGAAGTCAAAAAGCTAAAATAACTTTGTTAATATATTGGAGTTGATGGTAGTTGTTTTTTTTATCCGAAATACGAATTCCGTTAACGGATTCCGGATCCGAATTTCGTATTTCGGATAAAAAAAAACAACTACCATCAATCAACTCCAATATATTAACAAAGGTATTTTGCTTTTTAACTTCGATATAACGAATGTTCATAACGGAACGAAATTCCGTTAACGGAATTTCGTATTTCCTGCCTGTGTATTGTAATGCGACTCTCAGCAGCAGCGGATCCGTATTTCGGATTTAAAAAAAAATCTTGTCATGTTGTTCAACCTCATTTACAGGGGGTAATATCAATTCCTGTTTCAAAGAAATTCGGATCCGAAATTCGTTAACGGAATTTCGGATATAATTCGGAAACTGAAATTCGGATTTCGGATGCTTCCGAATTTCAGGAAAATTCGTACAAATCGCACATGTCTACTCTCTCTGCAGTGACAGGATCGAGAAGTGAGCGAGCGCCGGTATGTGTTCACTCACTCCCCGATCTACTTAGCCAACCTGTGACAGTTTCATTGTCACAGGTCGGCTCAGATTATGAGGCTGAGTGAAAATCACTCGCCTCATAATTCTCTTTAAATCATCCCCGGACTCTATAAAACCAACTTCTCTACTCTCCATCAACGAATCCCATGGAAAGCCCAAATATAGGAATGCCGCCACTTCTCGGCCATAAGACAATACATGTAAACCTGGTGGAGCAACAAACCTGACAACATGGGTACACTTCCTACCTCCCATCATAGGTAACAGGTGAGCCTCCTGTCCAGGGCCGGATTTACTCTCTCTGCTGTCCCAAGGCCAGGTTCCTCAATGAGCCCCCCTACCCGCCAACCCCCCCTCCCCCCCATGGAGAATGGCAGACCTGCAGGCTGCATACAATGTTGCTGAGATCACTTGTACAAAACAAGCTGTACATTGAGCTCTGCTTGCCCAAAGCCGGGCTAAATGTAGAAAACAACTACCCGCCCGGCGCCCATAACTGCATGTCAGAGGCATCGGGAGATAGGAATTCCACACCCCTGCTGCCCCTCTACTCCCTGCTGGCCCGAGGGCCGGGCCTTGGTTGGCCTTGTGGGAATTCCGGCCCTGCCCCTGTCTATAGATGACAAAAGGTGACATCCTTTTTGACAATGTTTTCCTCTTCTCTTACAAACATCATCAACTTACTATAAACGCCGACATGATATATCTCTGTATAGAGTTCGTTATTCGTCAGGTGTATATCGGCTGAGTATTGTCCTCTGTCTTCTACGCGTAGATCGAGGATAATCAGTGAGCCATCATCAGTGCTGTGCAATCTTTCATGGTAGCTGGAGACCAGGACACGCAGGGATCCATTTGTAAACGTTGTAGCAATATGTATAGTATGGCTCTTCATCCAGAAAATGTCTTCCGTTTGATTCGTTAGGTGTTCAGGCAATGGTAGGGTCAACTTCTCCTCTTCATGAGAATATATATAAACTTTTTTGGTATTGGCCCTTTCAGGAGCCACAGCTGATTGATAAAGAGAAACCATCTGTATTATTTATGTTTGGGTAGATGGTTGTTGGTTAAAAACATACATTTTCTGCTTATTAGAGAGGACTCGACTGGTCTTTAAGATATGAGATTTGACAGGTCTATGTTGAGCAGAGGTCCATGGCAGAGGACCTGGTTCTGGCTGGGAAACTATTTAGCATATAAACTATTGATAGGGGTCGCTTAAATCTCTTTCCTTGTTGACTTGCTGGAGATCCCCATTCAAGGACAGGGCACTGGTGGGGTCCCAGTCTCTGGCTGATGACTGATAAACTCTATGGTGAGCAGAAGTCTATGGCAGAGGCCCCGTTCTGCATGGGAAACTACTCAGAATATTCGTGATGGGGGTCCTTTAACTCTCTTTCCTAGTTGACTTGAGCTACTGGAGATCCCACGTTCAAGGACAGGACATTGTTGATTTCCAGTTTCTGGCTGATGACTGATAAGGTCTATGGTGAGCAGAGGCCCATGGAAAAGGCCCCACTCGGCCTATGAAACCACTCAGCTTATAGTGATGGGGTCCTTTAACTCTCTTTCCTAGTTGACTTGAGCTACTGGAGATCCCACGTTCAAGGACAGGACATTGTTGAGTTCCAGTCTCTGGCTGATGACTGATAAGGTCTATGGTTAGCAGAGGCCCATGGACAAGGCCCCACTCGGCCTATGAAACCACTCAGCTTATAGTGATGGGGTCCTTTAACTCTCTTTCCTAGTTGACTTGAGCTACTGGAGATCCCACGTTCAAGGACAGGACATTGCTGGGTTCCAGTTCTGGCTGATGACTGATAAGGTCTATGGTGAGCAGGGGCCCATGGACAAGGCCCCACTCGGCTTACAAAACGACTCAGCTTATAGTGGTGAGGGTCCTTTAACTCTCTTTACTAGTTGACTTGAGCTACTGGAGATCCCACGTTCAAGGACAGGGCACTGGTAGGGTCCCAGTCTCTGGCTGATGGCTGATAAAGTCTATGGCGAGCAGAGGTCCATGAAAGGCCCCACTTGGCCTGGGAAACTACTTAGCTTAAAGTGATGGGGTCCTCTAACTCTCTTTCCTAGTTGACTTGAGCTACTGGAGAACCCACATTCAAGGATGGGATGTTGGTGTGGTCCTGGTTTTTGGCTGAAGACTGATAAGGTCTATGGTGAGCAGAGGTCCATGACAGAGGACCGGGAAACTACTCAGCTTATAAAATAGTGATGGGGTCATTTAACTCCCTTTCCTAGTTGACTTGAGCTACTGAAGATCCCACATTCAAGGACAGGACATTGGTGGGGTTCCAGTCTCTGCCTGATGACAAATTAGGTCAATGAATATTCTAATTTAATACGAATAACAGTGTTCTGAAACATTACAGTTCAAGAATCCCCACCCCCTTCCATTCATTACTGTACTATTGCCCAAAGAGGAAGTACTATACCACCTTACTGGGTCACTATCATAGCAATGGCAGAAGGTTGAGAGCTCTTGCCCAAATTGGGGCCCATGCCAGTGGGGAAGCTAGACATTCTGTGACTGGGGCAAAGGCACATAGTTGCTCCCCCCCCTAAGGGAATA